TACAGCAGCCAGGGAAATCCATGTTTGCCAGGAACGTCAGAGTTCCCAGGTCCCAAAATCTCCCTGCAGGTATGAAGGTGAACCATGACTTGAAAGCAACACAAAAAGGTATGGGGTGACGTACCCACACTTGAAGGGACAGTGAAGGGAAGGCTCCCTTTCTTCACCATGGGATTAGGAAATAAGAAAATGCCAACTCTAGAGCTGGCCCTTTCACTGAGGAATTGAACCCAACCAAATTAAAGACACAGCTTTTGTATGCTGGCAAGGCAAAATACCAGTCAGTGGATGGTGAGTTTTGTGCACATTTCTTCATCCTGTGTGCACACATGTGTGGCCAGGGCTGGGAGAGCCCAGATTCATGCTGCCAATAATGAACAGGATGCCAAACTGAGCTGACACAGGCATGGTGAGTCCCAGGCTTTTCATGGGTCAACCTTGCCTCTTGTCCTGGACATGTTCAGATGCAAGGCTTCAAATAAGTCTCCTGAGCTCCCTGGGCCTTGGCTCCCAGCCTTGGTAGTCAGCCTAGAAGTGCCTACTGGGGAGGACTCAGAGCAGAGGTTTCAGGGTCTTCCCTAGGCAGTAAGCTGCCATGTGCTTTAGAAATTTCCTGGAAAACCCTTCCCTGTGGTTGTAGGAAGGCTAGGAAAGGGCAGAGCTGATGCTGTTCCTAGTGTGGAGACAGTATGCACAACATGAAACAGCTGAGAAAAAATGCAAATACATGATTCTCTGAAACCCAAGTGGGGAGACTTGGCTCTAAATCAATGAACTTCCTGAGAAAGGAGCAAATAAGACTGTTTTTACTTTGCAAAGCTTCTTCCTCTGTGGGACTGTCTCAATGACAGGAGCTGCTGCCTTGCGAATGAGTGAAGAGCATGTTCCAGCAGGGTGTGTCCCAGGAAATCATGGGAGCTCACCTGGCTTGGCTTTGCCAAGTTGGACAGAAGGTTGCAAAAACCAATTAAAATAAAGCAAGTGCCACGATCTGATGCCAGCATGGTTAATCAGAACTAAGTAGCCTTGAGGGAGCCCTTCTGGCCACATCTTACCAAATTTGCCACAGGCCCCTGTCCCTTCTGCTGGGCTGGGTCAGGAGCCCTCTCATGAACCACTGTCACAGTAAACATTCGAGTATTGCGGCCCAGCGTTGCTTCAGGAAGGGCTGGGCCAGGCTCAGCTGCCTGTTGGAATGGGAGGGCCATTGGGGTAAGTTGGTGGGGAACAGGCTTTGGGTGTGGCAGTGGAAGGGCTGGAGTATGTCTGTGTGTGCCAGCTCACACCTGGAGGCAGCCATCCAGCACCCTGGACTTTGCTGCTCATCTCTGGCCACACCCTGGGGGATCCTGATACTCAGCTGAGGAATGTGATTGGGGCAGAAATGTCAGGGCAGGGGAGACTGACATACCAAGAGGGGATAGGATTTTGTACACCTTTGGTTTCAAAAAGACTGAAAATGGTTAATAAAGAATGCTGTTTCCCAAGCTACTCATATGGACTGGCCTGAAAGTTGCAGCTGGGGTCCCGTGAAATGAGATGGTAGCCATGAAAGGGAAGGTGCCACACCCTGGACTGGGAATGAAATGGCCATGATGGGGAGTGGCTACCAGGCCAGGCAGGGTGGAGAAATGGGTGAGCAAGTGGTGAGGAGGTGCCCAAGGCCATCCTGGACCTGGGAGATAATTGTGTGAGACCAAAAGAGTAGGGACTGTGTTGGGATTCCTGAGTCCCGAATGGGCAAAGATGCATGTGTGCCTGTAGGTGTGGGATGCCTGGGGGATCACAGGTTGGCTACAAAGGGTGGGCAGGGGTGGATGTGGACACACTGAGTCCCAAGACCCACATCCTCTCTGGCTTCCCCTGGTCACCCCTCTGGGGAGTGCTCCTCTCCCTGTGGCTCCAAGGACATTCTCTAGACACTTCCTGCATTGGTGCTATGCTCTTGGGCTAGTGTTGACAAGCAAGGTCACATATTACTGTGGCCCTCAGGCTCCTTGTCCACACTCTTGCATTGGGCCTTCCACCTGAGAGCCTGAGGTTCTCACTGGAAGTGGTGCCAGCCCAGAGGCTGGGGCGTGCTGGAGAGACTTGTCCCAGCATGTGGGATAAGTGCAGACTGGCTGGGAGGTGGGCAAGGAAGAGGTAGGTTTTCCTTATGTGACCTTGTGACCCACGACTACTGCACCTCCTAAAATGCTGCCTCTTGGCTAGGCTGGGAACTCTGTTGAGGCCAGCACCCTGCTTTCTTTCTGGCAAATTCCAAGAGAGGGTGAAGGCCTGGAGCTAGCCCCGATTCTGCTAGGCCTTCCTCTGAGGAGGGTGCTGGGTCTGGTGATTTCTTGGGGTCCTTGCAGCTCAGACTGGGGAGTTGGTTCAGAATTCCAAACCAATCTGCCATACGGTGATGATGATAGGAAGCAGTCAGGGTCGGTGGCTTCCAGAAGCAGGTGTGTCCCCCGGTGTTGTCTGGTCCTCCAACCAGCATGTTTCTCTACAGCAGGGTCCTTACTGAGTTGCCACCACTTAACTGGGATGAGCCTTTTAGGCCAACCCTTGTGGGGACATCAGGACTCCGTTGCTGTCACACTGGCACCCTCCTTAGACACCAGGTGCCCAAGCTCTCACTGGGGCCTTCCCACCTGCTCCTTGCCCAGTAGCACATGGTGTGGAAGGGACAGCAACTCTTCTTGTGCTCACATGGTAGTTGGTCCCCCTGGAGTAGCTCATGACCAGTAGGAGAGGGCACTGCTGGAATACTGGAAATGGGAAGGTGGGGTGGGGTGGGGATGGGGAATAGGTGGTTACAGAAGGAAGGAAGGTACCAGGAGCTGAGGAAGAGAGGAGAGAGAGAGAGGCAGACCCCAGAGAGAAAGCTGGAGGAATTCAGAGGGAGCTATGAACCAGCAGGCCTCACTAGGAGCACAGAGGGGAGGCCTGGGCTGACTCAGGAGTGGGGAAAGGCCAGAGCTATGGAGAAAGCCTGAGGGGTGTGTGCAGTGGGGTCTGTGTTGGCTGCTTTCCTCTCAAGTCAACAGAAAGGCAGCTGGACAGAGGCAGAAGGTGCAGAGAGAGATGGCAAAGAAACATGTGGAAGAAGTCAAGGGGGAGGGAGGGACAGGAGCAGGTCAGCATGTGCCCCTCATGTAGACCCACACCCCCTTTTGTCCCCACATTCCCAGGAAGGAAGGTGCTGCTGTCCAGCCAAGGCTTGGCTGAGGCACTCCTAGGAGGCTGTGCGCCATGTCTGCTCTTAACTGACTGTGGCTGAGCCTCCTGTAGACCTCTCTGGGTGGATTGGTGGCAAGGTCCCTCTGGGACAAGGCCAGAGCATTCCAATTCACCTGTGACATCTGGCAGCCAATAGTTGTGGCCCAGGTGGAAAGCCCAGTGAGTATGAGAGGGAGATGGAGGTGGCTGTGCCCTGTGGTTTGGAGAAGGGGTGTGTATGTGTGTGTGCACATGCACACTGTTTCCGAAGGGGGCAAGGTGGCCCGGCAGGGACTGGTGCGGCTCACATCCCTTCCTTAAAGGGCAGAGTGGCCTGAAATGACAGCTTTAGCAAGAGGAGGGACGCCCCCCACTGGGACCTCTCACCAGTTCCTAAAAAAAAGAAGAAAAGAAAAGGAAAAGGACAAGACAAGACAAAAGAAAAAAGGAAAAGAGATGAAATCAAGCAAAAGAAAATCCCAGGGTCTGGTGGGGGAAACAGCGTGGTTAATGACTCCCGTCTGTGGGGAAGTAGTGTGTTCTCGGAGGTGAGAGCTCCCGGGTCTCACTGGAAGGAAAGGAAAGAGGTAGCATCGAACCATCCTGGCAGGGGCTGTGGGCTCATACTCGAAGGTTTACTGTTTGGTTTTTGAAATCTCAAGTTTGTTATAAGAAGCAGGCTGCCCTGGGTGGGAGCAGGGGGGCCACGCCATTCCCTGGGCTGGGGGCTTCTGTAGTCTAGTGGCTTGCCCTTTGTCTTTGTGAAAAGATGTAATTAGGGATGTTTCTATCTCTTTAGGACAGCCCCTGGTTCTCTTTCAAATGTGATGGACATGGCATGAACTTTTCATTGGAACATATAGAAGGGAATTCATATCTCCCAGTTTCTCAAAGGAAGGAAGAGAAAGGGTGGACTAGATTGGGTTAAGACCTTCCAATGCTGAGGCCTGTTTGAAAAGAGTGAAGGTGTTTTGGGAACACATGGAAATGTAGTAGAGTGCAGGCTTGGAGCATGAGGAAGGCTCCAGCTCATGGTATCTCGGACATCTCTAACACCCGGTGGGGTTCAGGACAAGGTCATATGGGACAGGTAGCACCTGAGCAGGAGCAGCTGACCACCACCAACCCCACCTGGGAACATGTGACAGTGGCTTCCTGAAGCTCACATCAGGTCTTGTGCCTTTGGAAACCACCTCAAGGAGAGTTCTGGAAGCTGACACTTTAGTCCCTAATAGGTGGGGTGGATTCTTCTGCTGCAAATAATGCCAAAAAGGCACTTGCCTTCCCCTCCAGCCCTGGAAGGTGGACCTAAGCCTGCTTGCCTCCCTTTCACTGCCCCACCAAACATCGACCAAGGTCCCACCCTGACACCAGACACCACCAGAAGCAGCCAAAGTTCATGAAGAACCATCGGCAAGTGCAGACAAGTTCAAGAAAAGAAAACCAATGACAAAAGGAGCACTAAATGAAAACCAAAAAACCAAACAAATAAAAGGACAGAAGGTCCAGCAGTGCCATGGATTCAGTACATTTCTAAGAGAATATGGCTTTGGAGAGATACACCGTCTGAGTGGGAAGGACTGGACAGGGCAATAAAGAAAGAACGGAAAAGCCACGGTGAGCGGAGGATGCAAGACTGGAAAAAAGAGAAGGAAGAGTTGGGGAGGCTTTTTTTCTCCCCCAGAGATGCCATTTATGAGAGAAAAGGGGACTCAAGACTCACTCCCAGCGGCACTGGTGGGATTGGCAGCAGAGAGAATTACGTGAGTAGGGGTAGAAAGATTGGTTACGTCATGGAGCTGGCTGAGGACTGAAGACCGCCGGCGCACGGCACCCTGAAATGAACCGCTTCTCTTGAAGGTACTCACTACCTCCATCTGTGGGAGAGAAAATGAGATAAAGTTTGGCTTGCACTGTTGTCCTGGCTACTGCACAGGGGTGGGGCTGGGCAAGGACAAGGACCACACTGGGCACATATTGTGACAGCAAAGCCTCATCTAGGTTACCCAGCTCCCTGGCAAGGCCATGGCCATGGCCCAGGCTGGCCTCTGTGTCATCCACCAAGAGAGGTTTTGCTGAGCAAAATAATTAGCGCTCAGAAGACTGGGAGGGTGGGTAGTTAGTAACCAGGTACACTGCAAACACTGAGTCATTTGCATTCACAGTAAGCTCATGGCAAGCCACTCGTCAATAAATACCTGTGTCTGGCAATACTTTTTATCCTAGGTCAGTGGTTTTCAACCCTTTTTTTCCGCCCCAACAAACCTGAGGGATATGACATGCTTCTATTAGAAATAAGGCTCCCTGTGGCAGCACTCCCTGATTACACAGCAGGGGGACAGGAGCCCTTCCTTGGGCACGTCCTTCATTTACATGATGCCTCACCTTGCCAACCTGCTTTGCCCCGCTGGGAGATGGGGTCATCACTCTCCTTCTACTGCTCATTCAAGTGATTGAAGGGCACTCAGGGGAAACCTCAGTGGAAGAATGGATTTAAAAAGAGGGGGAGGGAGCCACAGGCATGATGAGAGGGAAAGCAGAGAGCCTAGACTCTGGGGAACAGACTTGGCTTTTTGCTTTGTCCTCACCCTTTAAGTTTCCTAGGAGTCAAAAGGGAAGTGGGTCTTTGGAAAATGAGAACCATGTGGGTGAACTTGCTGGGAGTTGCTGTGTCTTTGGACTTCCTGACCCAGCCTTGGACTGGTATGGAGGCCTAGGGGCGTATCAGACCCAGGTGTGGGGTTCCAAGGAATTGCATCTGAGTGGCCACAGTGAATGCCCTGCCATTGAGACCATGTGCCTAGATTCTGGGAGGCCAGCCCAGTGTGGCACACTTTTGGCCATGTCTTTGGGAACGTCCTCGGTACGGGAGTGGGGGGCAATATTTGGTGTCTTAGAAGGCGGATCTGGTTTCTGGAAAGTGCTCTGTAGTTCATTGGATGATGTGAACAGCAAAGCAAGTATGCATTTCTGGAGCCCAGAGCTTACTGTGTACCTGCTTTGGGCTCAGGACCTGCCCCACCCTCAAGCCCCGCAGTGGCTATGAGGTGGCTACCAGGTTCAGCGGGGTATCTGACATAGGGCCAGGTTTCTTGGAAGAAGGCAGTGTGAGCGCTCAGACTGTCCCTACCCCAACCACAATGAGTATGTCTGTCATTCAACCCTTGGGCACACTACAGAAAAAGCTTATTGTCATGTATTCAGCTGCTGAGGTCCCCTTCTGCCCAGCACATTCCCTCCCTTGATCAGGGGAACCTCATGACCAGGACTGACACCTGTGAGGAAGGCATACTGTCTCTTTGGGAGGGAGCGTGTCTTCTCCTTACAATGGGCAGATGTTCCTGAGGCTATGGAGATAGGTCTGTCTCAAGAGGGGACTCTTACTGTGGCAAAGGTGATGAGGGAAGGGAAACATGCCCTTACTGCCTCTGACTTGGCCTCTCCATGTGGCCTCCTGATGGATTGATGGCATCAGTCAAAATACCGCAGAACTTTCACCCATCCTCCACTCCTGGAAACCCAGTTGCTGCTGAAGCTTCTCATTGCTTTATAATAGAATGTGAAATACACTGTGTCATGAATGCTCTGAAAAGTTCCATGTTCTGGGTTTCAAGGACTGTGTTTTTTTTTTTAAATTATGGAATGGGATCCTAATGATCTGATGCATTTATAAGTTAGTATGAAATAATTTTGAGAGCAAGTAGCAGGTTAGAAATGCCTTCACTTAGCAACATAAAAAGTTGTGCTGGCCTCTGAAATCTGGGGAGCAATTTTGTGGTTCACAAAATCTGGAAATCTAGGGCCAACTTCCTAGACAAATGTTTCTCTTAGCTTGGGGTGTACCTACAACCTGGGGGGATTTATTTCTTATTTTCAAGCAGGTATTTTGAATAACAAAGAACACTGTTAAAAAGTGAGCTAAAGTACCAGTTGGTTCAGCATTGTTGAGAAGAGTGGCAAATCTGATGTGACAAAGCCAAGATCTTATGCAGGAATGAGTAGCTCGATGGAGAGAGTGTGGAGTGCACCAGACGATCAGGGGATGGAGACTTGGATGTCAGCAGGCCTATACTGTCACTGGGTGACTTTGGTTAAGTCCCTTCTCTCTGAGCCCATTTCCTCTTGTGTAAAGGAGGGACCTGACTGGCAAATGTCTGTATGGACACTGGCAGTTTGAACAACCTGGAAATCTAAGACTTCAACTGCAGGGACCCGCGCTCTAGTAGCCTGGCAGCAGTGGCAGGCCCAAGGGCCCATAGGCACAAAGAAGACACACAGGTGGTCAGGACACTACTGACCTCCCCTGAGATGCTTCAGATCAGGGCAGGGTTGCTGCCTCAGCTGCTAGAAAAGCTAGGCTCACCATCTTTGATTCACTGATGAAAGCAAAAAGGCTGACCAGGGGCACAAGGTGCTGCTGCGCTCCCGCCTACCTCTACCCCTCCCAAAGCTCAAACCAGTTTCAGGCTCTGCATGACAGACAGACAAGAGCCCATCTGGGCCAGGCCAGGGTGGATAGGGGCTCACAGTTGAGTGGCTAGAAGGCAATGAGGAGACCTAGACATCTGGCTACGAAGGCTACTCCCATTATTCTACCAGGCACTCAGTGTTCTGCTAGACCTATGACATTCTTCCCTGGCCACATGGGCTTAAGTGCTCGGCACACCAAGAGAAATGAGCTGGAGTCCTGGCCTGCTTCTCCACTGCAGAAGTCCCTTGGACCCCCGGGGAGCTCCTTAAACATGGAGTTCTTTTTGCCCCCACACCCAGCCCTAAAGGATTCCAAGCTCTTGGGGGTGGTCCTGGACTCTGTAGCTTTGGAAAGTTCCCTGGGGTATTCTGCTCCTCACTGATTTCAGCACCCTGGGCTGGGTTCACAGATGGCTGGTCATGGGGAGAAATAACTGCCATAGCTGTGTGTGCCAATGGTCCACGGTGGTGGAAGGGAGTGGACTCTGAGAAGGCTTCACAAGGAAGTGGCCTTTGAGTGGGCTGCTGCAGGATGAGGAGGGGCCCCAAGGGGACATGGCGGGATCTGGGGAGGCCTGGAGTCCAGACAGTGGCCAGCATGGAGGCACAGTGAAGCAGGTAAGCAGGGTGCATATCTGGAAAGGCAGCAGGGATTACAGGGGCACAGGGTGCATGGGGTGACACCAAGGGGCAGGGGCTTGCAGGGCACTGTCTGGACCCTGGACTTCACCCTTAGGACAGGGAGAGGGGCTACACAAGCAAAGGTATGGGGAGTGGTTTGGGAGGGGCTGAGATGACCAAAGGCTGGCAGAGCAAGCAGGAGGCTGAGAGCTCGAGGACAGAGTTGAGCCTGGAACCTGGGGAAGAGAAGAGGGGTGCCTGAGGCTGAGCCCCATGAGCCCCCCCAGGGACTGTGCAGCAGCCATGTGCACTGGGAGGTAGCATTAGACTTGGGGTAGTACAGGCAAGGCTGCCAAGGAAGGGTGCTTTGGGTACGTTTCATGGAAGATTCTTTGGGATGAGTCTGTGGCACTGTGTGACAGGCTGGAGGGCAGATATCAGGGAGAGATGTGTCTCAGTTCCTGCCCCAGACCCAGGTGCCCAAGGCAGGAAGTTACCTAAATAAACTTGAGAAGGGCCAGATGGTATCCTTCTTTCTGGTAGGACCCTCAGGGGGAGAAGCAATTGGAGCTAGGTCAGGAGCCATGGGGCTGGGGGTCCTCGGGTAGAGGTGAAGCAGCAGGAAGCATAGCAAGAGCAGGGGCTGGCTAAGCTGAGAGGAGGTTCAGAGGCCCAGGGTGGCAGTAGGACTAAGGACTTGCATTCGAGGAGGCAGAGCTGAGCTGGTGAGCCATGCTAATGCACCAGGCGTGTAGGGAGACTGGAAGAGGGTTTGAGATGTCTCTGGGGTTCTGGAGTCACTAGTCAGGAGCTGGGGAGCTGGGAGGAGGTGAGCTGGGGGCTACAGGGCCTATGATCTGGGCCGAACCTGGTGTGTGTACTGTGAGTCATCTTGGTGTGAATGTGGCACTCTGGGGTTCTTGGCTGAGCAAAGGAAGAGCTGGTCAGTGGTGGGCACCAGGAACTGGCCAAGAAGACCAGCATCCATGGAGCCTAGTGGGGCAGGTTGGCAGGGGCTGAAGGAGAAGCTGAATGAAAGGGGGCTGCAGGTGACTCAAGAGGGCTGAGTGCTAAGGGCTGAGGGTCAGGTAGGATCCCCCATAGGTGGGGCAGCTCTCAGCCACTTCTCCTTCTTTCCCCATTGGGTCCAATGCCCCTGGGTCCATGGGATTTTGAACACATGAGGGTCATGGCAGCGTAGACCGATGTCTCAGCAGGAGGCTGCGGTGCCAGGCAGGAACAGAGAGTAAGGTGGAGAGGGGACAGCAAGTCACCAGGGAGAGCAGGGATGACAGTACTTCCAGGAGGGCTCTGGGAAAAGCTTCAAAGCAGGAAGGAAGGAGGGACAGCCTGATCCTGAGAACCATAAGGATGCCTTGCAGACCTTGACATGAACCTCTGGGATGCTGAGGGCAGAGGCTAGGCTGCGATGGGATCACAAGTGAGTGTGTGGGAATACCATGGAGAGACAGCAAGTATGGAACATTCTGGCAAGAAGGCTGGCTGGGAAGAGTTGGGAGCAGAGAGCAGGGTGGGCTCTGCCAGGTAGGCTCCCGTGAAGCCTTGGCAAATGGCCATGGCTGGGCAATCATTGTGGCTGCGTGACTTCATAGAGGACTGTGGCCCTGGGATGTGTAGAGTGGTATGAACCAATGAATGGTGAGCTTGCCAAGGGCAACTTGAAATGGGCATCTAGGTCATCCTGTGAATGTCTCTTTTCTGTGACCTAGGGCAGTTTCTTCTAAATACAGGGAGGCCCAGCAGCTCCTCATAGCCCCCAGAGAGACAGCCACTGGTCACAGCACACACCTGTAGCTGATACCTGTTCTCACTATGGGGAGGGCCACCTGCGCTCTGAGGGAGGGGGAGGTGAGGGACAGGCCATCTCAGTGCCACAACTGCTGATGAGTACATCTGTGGATGGCATAGGGACACTAGCAACTGCCCTTATGATCGTGGCTGTGATACCTAAGGGTTTCCCTGTCAGTCTCAGGCTCACCTCACCCACTCCGCCTCTTGTTTGCTTGCCACCCTCTTGAGGCAGAAAAGCCAGAGTAAGCTAGTGGCATGGCAGCTTACCTGTGTCTGGATCCGGTTGAGTCCCCGGAACCAGAGGATCTGGCCTCTGCGGAGCTCCCGCTCGGCATGGTCAATCTCTTCTTCCCCCTCGGCCAGCTCCTCGTCGGTCATCTCGTCCTTCCCGGGCCCATGCCCTGCTTCCTTCAGGCACTTGAGCTGGCTGGTGGGAATGGTGGCGATGACCTGAGGGGTCAGAGGTGAGGGACAACAGGCAGAGGTGGTCATCAGAGCAGTGCTGGGCTCTTCAGTGTGGGAGCTCTGCTGGGGCCCAGAGGGGACCCAGACTGCTCATCTCCCTCTGACAATGTCTGAGGCCGATGTCCGTGTCTCCCCATACTTGGGGACATTCCTTCCTTGTCCCTGAGGCTACATGCCTGGGCCACTTTTGCCTCCTGCCAAATCCATTCTTCAGAGGGAGAGCCAGCCTTTTTCCTCTGGAGGGCTTTGTTTCCCCTGTTTAACCAAAGAGAGCAGACCCAGAATAGTCCCTGGGGAGCTGAGTGTGGAGTATTTCCCAGAAAGGAAGCAGTGATATGGCTGGATGCCAGGGCCATAGGCCGGGAAGTGCAGGTGGGCTTGCAGCATGCCAGTATGCATGCCTATGGCTCCTCCTTGTTGTCCCTCAGCCACCCAGAGAGCCAGAGGAGCATGTGATGCAACCTTCTCACATAGTGTGTGAACTAAGGGATTTGCCTTACCAGAGGGAGCTCTGGACTCGGCCCCCAGTCCTTGGGAGTGGACCTCTAGGGCCCTGGTAGTCCTGCCTAATGAGAATGTCTTGGTTTGCTGGGCCAAGGGTCCTGCCAGGTGGTCTGTGCCGACAGATTGCTTTCTGCTGGGGGCTTGGATTGAACATATGTGCTTGACCTGCAGGGGCTGGAGACTGAGTGGCTGAGGTCAGCCATGTGGCTGCTCCAGGCCTGCAGGACCGACTCCCAGTAAAGTCCCTGGGCACCACTGCTCAGGGGAGCTGCCCTGGTGGCAGCCCTCCGTGCATGTTGTCACACATCATTGCTGAGATACTGTGCTGTCTGCATGATTCCACTGGCGGGGGACCTGGAAGCTCGCTCCTGGTCTCTCCTGGACCTGCCCTGTGTATGCTTGATCTTGGACTTCCAGCTTCTAGAGCTGTTCAAGAATACCCTGTGCTGTTTAAGCCATCCAGTCTGTGGTATTTGCTGTGGCAGCCTGAGGTGAGCAACACAGGGCAAGGTGGTTCCTGGACCCAGCACCCTACACCAGTGTTCTAGGTCTCAGGGAATATGCTTTCACAGGCCTGGGCCAGATCCTCCTGTGCTCTGAGCTGCCCCAGCACCCAGGATCCTTCTTCCTGACTTCACCCCCAGGAGCTATGAGCTCCCCTCTGCGCATGGCTTTAACTACAGCCCACAGAGCTTGAGATGTCAGAGTTTCACTTTCCATCAGCTCAAAGTATTTCCTCATTTCTCTGGAGATTTTTCTCTTTGCTTGTGGAGGATTTAGCAAGATGTTGGTTGTTTTCAAATTTGTGGGGATTTTCCCAGGCATCTAGTTTTAAGGGGTGATTTTCAGGTCCTAGCATCAAAAGAGGAGTGACGGGTGGTTTTGTCAAGGCCCTGTGACATCGCAGCCATGGCCCTTTGCCTTCTCTCTGATGACATTGTCACTTGTGGTCTTGCACCTGAGTCATGGCCTGTCCCAGGTCTGAGTCCTGCTGAGTGTGCCACCCACCAGAATATGCTGCAGGTTTTCCCAGGCTTGGGCTCTGAGGCTCTGGTGCAGGGAGCTGGGGCACAGGTCCCTGGGCCTCCTATGATTCCCTGGCCTTGTGCTCAGCACCAGCACTGTTGCAGAGCAGACAGAAAGGGGGCCAGACTATGAAAGCTGATGAGGCAGACACTCACCTGTCCCCAGACCAGCTCCCCAACGCCAACAAACAGGCACCAGAGCCACTGCTCCGTGGACAGGGGGGAGCAGCTGAATGGTTTTCCACCAAACTGGACGATGACAATCTGCAGGAGAGGGGTGGGAGGGAGGCGGGTCTAGCCGACACACCTACTGATACCACCCCCCTCCTCCAGCACTCAGGGCCCATCCTGCCATCCAGGCTGGCCCTGCCGCCCTGCTCAGAGACTCAGAGGGGCTGTTGGTTTTCCCAGGCAGATGGGCTTAGCAGATGAGCCACATTTCCAGCTTCTGTAAACTGGATGCTTAACATCCACCCTGAGTGCATATACTGGACACATCTTGCTCTGAATACCCTGGTGACATGTCTGAGCCACCTTGCCTGAGCCTCCTGCTTCCTCATTGCCTCCTCCTTGTGAGGAAGCCTCCACCCAGTGGCGAGTTTTTTAAATACAGACCAACTGCCTCCACTACTAGGCTGTCACACTTCAGGCCACTGTCCCCAATCCTATTCACCCAGGGCCAGGTTCCAGATAACCAGGAACAGCCCTCTGCCCCAGAACCCTGAAATCACTCACGTGAGCCAATCCTTAGCCTGCTCACCCTGTGTCACAGTTCCTCCCTTAGGAACTGCAGTAAAGGCTATTTCTTGTCCACAGTTCCCTGTTCCCCCTCAGCCTCCTGACTGACCCAGGTGCTTTCCTGGCAGTCCCCCATGGTGTGACAGACCCCCTCCTCTGAGAACTGTGAGGAACAAAGTATTTGGGCCTGTTGGCCTCACTATACATCACATTTTTGGTTAGTATACCCTCTGTTCAAATACTCAGCCCCCTCTGGAGAGCTGACTGGCCAGCCTGTCCACAGCACTGTGGCAGGCAAAGGTCTGTGTGTCAGCACTGGTGACAAGCGCATCTCCAAAGGAAACTTGTGGAGTTATGGTAGCTTCCCACCAATGAATCCCATGTTAGAAACAGCAGCGGCAGACCCAGAGGGACCTGTAAGGAGATCAGGGCTGAGAAGGCCTGCTGAGCCCCTCTGGATAGTAGCAGGTGGACCCAGGGTCTGGCTTGCTTTGATTCATTCAGAGGCCACCAGCAGGGGACATGGTTGCCTGCTCCCCCACCTTTTTCAGGAATGAAGCCACTTCTCCTTACCTGGATTGCAAAGGTGCCGAGGACGATGGTGCAGAAGATGGGGTTGCCAAAGATGCCATGGAAGACATTGCGCTCGCCATGGATCTTTCGGGCATTGATCTCATTGAAAAGCTGCATCATGACGAAGGTGTTGAAGATGATGGTGTAGTGCTCCGAGGGTGGTGAATGCAAGGGCGCATTCCTCCCACTGTCGATGTCGAAGAAAAGCTCTCCTGCAAGTCAAGGGGCACGTGAGGGGACAGGGCCCCAAGCCAGGCACAGCCCTGACCCCTCTGTGAGACAACTGTAAGGGGGGAGTAAGGAGTCCCTCACCCCATGGGGTGACAGCCAAGGTGAGAGGCTGGCACTGAAACCAGAACCACAAGGGCAGGGATGGAGTTGAGACAGACACCTGGCACATCTTTTCTCATTTGCCTGCTGGGTCAAGTGGGGGGTGGGTTGGGAAGGAGTCACAGGGCTGCAGGCTGCAGGGCAGCCCAGCCTTCCTCTGCCCTGCCTCTAGGACACAGGCAGCAAGCACAAGGCCCACGGGCCAAATCCTGCCCTCTGCCTTATTTTATTGGCCTGGCACCTTGTTTCTACCCAGCGGCAGTGTTGAGCTCTCGCTTAACAGTTAAGGAATAGTTACATTTATACAGTCCTAAAATTACATTCAGCCCTTTGAGGGCAACTGCGAGGCTGATGTGGCCCCCGGTGAAAATGAGTTTAATACCCCTGCCCTAGGACAAGGCAGCCAGCCTAGGTTCTCGGGCAGGCCACGAGAGGCTTCTGCTCCTAATAAATGAGAGAAAGGTCCCCCAGAGGACCTCTAGATGCTGATCTTTGGGTCCCCCTGACTATGAGTCCTGCACACCGAGCTTTGAATCTGCCCCTAGAAATATGTGCTAAAAACTGAGCCTCACCACGCTCTGGAGTACTGTGATGGTGACCCAGGCCACCCCATGGTTTAGGATCGCAGATACATGGAGAGCACTCTGGCATAAAGGAAACAGGTCACAGACAGACAAACCACCAAACGCACCCCATATATAAATAAAGAAATCTGCTCAGTGGAGCCCGCCTGACACAGAAGAAAACTTGGAGGAGGACTGGACAGCTGACACTGGCACCAGGCTTCCAAGGAGCAGGCAGTGTGCTGGAGGGCTTGATGCCTTCCATATCTGGGCTGCAGGCACAGCCAGTGGCTGGGGACCCCATGGCTTTCACCCTGCGCAACCTCAATGCAGACACTCTCCATCAGTCCTTCCCTCTGCTGACCACACTCCTGCCTGTGCCTTCTCTCCCCTCCCCTGCCCTCTCCTTCCTTCGTGTTTTCTGACCCTCTCTTGCCCCTTCCCTCCTCTCCTCCTTCTCCACACCCCTGTCCCTCCTCCCCTTCCCTCCTCCACCCCCCGTCCTGCTCTCCCTCTTCCTCCTTATCCTTCCTTTCTTTACTTCTTCTTTCCCTCTTCTCCCTCCTCCTCTCCTCTGCCCCCCAGCTTCCCTTCTTTGCTACCCTTCCTCTATCTCCTTTCCTTCTCCCTCCTATCCCTTCCTCCTTTCCTCTGTCCCTCTTCCTCTCCCCCTTCCCTCCTGTTCCTCCTCCTCCCACAGCTTCCAGCAGAGTGCTCTGGTCATTGTCCCCTGGAGAAATAGTCATGGGGTAAGTGGACAGATGGGTGAATGATCTGGGTCTGGGTGTATGATGAGAAATGCCACCAGCTCTATGGAGCAGTGAACAGTTTCTCAGCTGCCCAGGGGCCAGTGACACCTAAGTGGGGCATACACAGAGAGGAATGACTGGAAGTGAGGGCTGAAGGGACCTCAGTGCAAATTGGGTCCCTGGGTGCTCATCTGTGCCTTCCACCAGCACACAGGGTTGGAGCTGGAGAGGTCAGTAACAGAGCAGTGTGCCTTTGAGCCAACCTACCCACGAACAGCAGTGTGAAGATGATTGTGAGCTGATAGACCGCATGGCCTAGGATGTTCTTCATCATGGTTCGGGAGATCAGGGGCTTGTCTCGGCCATATGGCTTCCGCAGCAGCAGCGACTCAGTGGGTGGCTCTGTCGCCAGGGCCAGAGAGGCAAATGTGTCCATAATCAAGTTCACCCACAACATCTGCACGGCTTTGAGAGGAGAGTCCTGTGGAGAGGAGGCAGTTACCCCAAGGTGGGGCTGGGAACCCCACCGGCACCCAACCCCAGGGAAGAAAATCAGCTCAGGATCAATGTCACTGCAATTTCATTTCATCAAAAATGCAGCAAACCCAATCTTCCCATAAAATGTTTTCTTAAGGTTAGCAGAGAAATTTTCACCGGGCTTTCTGATTTCTGCTTTTAAAATGTTGCCAGTTTGCCTCCTCTCAACTGGTGGCAATGATCTAGATTCTAGAAGGTGTGCTCCAAATTGTTAGCAGGTTGATAGTTGCCCCAGACTGTGAAAGAGCCTGACTAATGGGGTGGTCTCCTGGTCTCCCACATCCAAGGGGCAGGAAGAGGTAGAAACTCTGCACTGGACCTTCTTTCTCCTCATCATCTCTGAGTTTGTTGGTTAAAAATAAAACTCACAGAAGCCAGACACCAAGGACCACATACTGCATGATTCCATTCTTATGAAACTTCCAGAACTGACAGATCCACAGAGAGAGAAAGCAGGTGAATGGGTGCCAGGGGCTGAGGAAGGGGAGAGTGGGGAGTGATTACTTAGTGGGTATAGAGGTGATAAAAAAGTTCTGAAACTAGATAAAGGTGATGATTGCACAATATTTTGAATGTACTAAAAACACTGAATTGTACTTTTAAATGGTTACATTGGCTATTAGGCTGCAGTTTATGTTATACAAATTTTATCTCAATAAAAAACCTTTGAGAGGGATACAAATTCTGGACACTCATTAATGGGAAGAATTGGACTATTGATAAAGGTGGAAAGACTCCTTCAAAGGTGAAATATGGAGTTCCCAGAGGACCTAGCACTTCCACTGGTAGGTCTAGACCCAGGAGAACTGAAAAGGTCAGTCTACAGAAAGCCTCATTCATGCATGTGCACAGCAGCATTATTCAGAATAGCCAAATGATGAAACCAATCCAAATGCCCATGGATGGAGGAACAGATACACAACATGCACTGCAGCCACACAATGAAACATTATTCCACCATCAAAAGGGACGATGCACTGATCCAGGCTATATAACACGGATGGACCTTGAAAACGTTGTGCTAAGTAAAATGAGCCAGACACAAACAACCACATATTGTTCAATTCCATTTATATGAAACATCCAGAATAGGTAAGTCTGTAGAGACAGAAAGTAGATTGGTGGGTGCCAAGGGCTGGGGAGGGGGGCATGGGGAGTACCTGGTAATGGGTATGGGATTTCCTTTTGGGATGATGGAAATATTTGGGAACTAGGCAGAGTAATGGCACAATACTATAAATGTACCAAGTACCACTGAATTGTACACTCTGAATGGTGAATTTTTTGGTATGTGAATTTTATCACAGTAAAAAAAATCGGCAAAGAAAACACCTGACTCTCCCAACTGGGTCCACAGGTGGGGGCTATTCAGCCTGCACACTCCTGCCAGAGGGTTCCCCTGGGATTTCTCTGTGCACTGGGGTCCAGATGTATGGGGCAGGTGGGGCCTTGGAAACCAGCTGCCTCCTACAGGCCACATGGGTTGTGGGAGGGAGAGCCCAGGGTCCTTTTTGAGCAAGGTAGTCCCCAGTGCCCACCTGAGTAATGCAGGCGCCTGTGAAGGCCACGATCACAGCCACCACATTGACCGTCAGCTGGAATTGCAGGAACTTGGAGATGCTGTCATAGACGTTGCGGCCCCACATGACTGCCTTGACGATGCTGGTGAAGTTGTCATCAGTCAGGATGATGTCCGAGGCCTCCTTGGCCACGTCTGTGCCTGCAATGCCCTGGGGGGCACACACACAGTGTCCATGGGCCCATTCCCTTCCTCCCTTCAACAACCCAGCCCACTTGGCTGACTCCTTCCTTTCCTTCTAAATGGGGCTCCCCACCAGCTGCGAACAGCTCTCATTTCATCCAACACATCCTTGTACTATGAATGGCAGATCGTCTCTCAGCTTTGTTCATAAGCAAAGAGGGTGCTGCTGCTGCATAGCCCAAAACAGGTCTTTTGTCCAGTTTTAGCATGCTAGAAAAGCTATATAAGGAGCCCAAGTCCTGGGCAGGGAAACTGTTGGTAGAGTGAGGACATGCCATCCTGGCCCACGCAAGTGTTTGGAGGACCCCCATCCTTGCTTCTTGAAGGCTCTGATGCAGGAATAGCTTTGGTTCTTCTAGCACCCAGTGGCTGGGTCTTGGTCCTCTTCTGGGTCTGTCTCGGCATCTGGGAAGGAGTGGCCCATGCCCCCAGTGCCTGCCTGTGGCGGGCTGCACTGAATGTCGCACAATGAGGGGCACACCCTCTCAGTAGGGTAGAGGGAGGGGCTTGCTGGATTTTTTCCCTGCAGAAGGCCATCATGCCAGGGCCAGCCTCTTGGGCAGCGCCAACCAGGTCACCCTGCTCAGTGTGGTCAGGGCTTTACAGAAAGAACTAGCTCCATATAAGCAATAAAAGGGAAGCACAGAGGCAAGGCTTGCTTGGGGATTCTGCTGATTGCACTTAGGATAGAGGTCCACTTAGAGCAGACTGAGAGTGAGAGAGGCAGGTGAACAACTGACAAGCCTCCTCCCCACCAAGCCCCTCAGCACTGCAGCCAGTCCCCACTGTTCCCTCAGGCACTATCACACCAAATACCTTTAAACAAATCATGTGTGTTTCTTGACTGGCAAGGCTTGCAGAGGCCCAAGTGGCCAGGATGTGAGAGAAAGAAATTCAGACACTTTAAGGTTCCTGCATAAAGTGAATGTCCTAGAGATATAAGGCCCTGCCAGGCATGGTGGGTCAGGCTGGCATCGGGTAGCTTACCATGGCGAAGCCCACATCTGCCTTTTTGAGGGCTGGCCCATCATTCGTGCCATCCCCAGTCACGGCCACCACCTGCCGCTGCTCGCCAGTGGTGCTGTCAATGATCCCTGAAACACAGTGGGGACATGTGTGACCAGCCGGGGGGTGGTGGGGGTGGGGGTGGGGGTGGTCGGGTCTAGAAACACTTCAGGATTTTGACTGTGCCTACCACCCCCAGTCCACTGTGTTGCCTGTCACCTTCAGCATCAAGTCTCTGGACCTTCACTGGGAGCCCCATGTCCCTCCTCCTGCCCAGGTTCATCACACAGTGAGGTAATACCAGGAGGTGTGATTTGGTAGAAGGCAGGGGCCCAGCGCTGTGTGGCCTGGATGTGTCCCTCTTCTGGGCTTCAGCTGCCTCATCTGGTACATGAGAGGCTAGGCTCAGGTGGCATCTTCCATTCATTTTGTTAGCCCAGAGAAATGGAGGGGTAAGCTCTGGTATGTCAGCCCTTTGAGGGGGTCTCCATTATTTTCCCCATTTTCCCAATGAGTAAACTGAGGTTCAGGGAGGGCCAGTGACTTGCTCAGAGACACAAGCCTACTCTCCAACAGCCATGGGTCTAGAGCCAAGGACCCCACTTCTTAGGTGGGCCCTGGAGACACATTTGAGAGTGTGGCTTTGGGTATCTAGGAAAAGAAAAAATGCAGGGGTGACAGCCACATACAACCAGCATCATGCCACCTTGGAAAGAGGGAGGAGAAGGGCAGGGGTGAGGGACATTAAGCTCACTCCTTTACCTTTGACTAGAGTGTGCTTGTCTGTGGGAGACGATCGTGCCAGGACCCTCAGCTTGGGCCACACCTTGTCCAGACGCTCCTGTTCTATCTGGAAGGGGAAAGCACACAGTTTCTGCAGAGCCCAGGCTGGCAGACAGGCAGGCAAGGCTGAGCAGAGATGGTGGGTAAGGGGGGAGAAATGGCCAGAACCCTGGACAGAGACAGACAGCCCCCTGCAGGAGGGCAAATGGGCTGGGAACTACCTCGCCTTTCTCATTGCGGATCCTCCTGTTGAACTCCTTCCCCTCCAGACACAGGAAGTCCTCCCCAGGCTGGATGATGCCACACTTGGCTGCAATGGCCCGAGCGGTGTTGATGTTGTCCCCGGTCACCATTCGGACTGTAATGCCAGCACGCTGGCATTTTCGGATAGCTTCAGGGACCTGGAAGAGATGATAGAGGTGGGTGGGGCCATGAAGGCAAGACACTATCGTGTGTCCCTTTCCTCCACCCAGATCTGCAGCGCACCCACCCACCACCCCTGTGGTCATGAGGTAGGGCCTCTGCAGATGGGTGGGCCTGGAGGCGGCAGGGAGAATGGTCTGCGTGCTCTGCCACTGCCATCAGCATAGTCCCTAGTGAGTAGGGTGTCTCCCTCAGTCCTTCAGCTCTCATTCCCCCCAGGTGCCTCCTTTCACTGTGTTGGGCCCATGGGACCAGCAATGACTCACATCTAGGTCCTGACACCACAAGCAAGGCTGTGAGAAGCTACTGGAAACTGTTACTCTGTCTAGGGTCATTGTATGAGTGGTGTATGGAAAGGTGACTGTGGAAATTGCCCAGCCCTGTCAACCTCATTTTCCACTGCAATATGGGGACCCAGAGCTGCTGAACCAGGACCAGCCCTGGTTCCCAGGCGGGCGGCATGGTGGTTGTGTCAGTTAGCTGTGGAAGAATTGGAAAGGAACCTCTGTCACCAGCCCCGCGCTGCCAGATGGCAGGGCCCACTGCGGACCTGTCTCTTTGGGGCCTGACTTAGGGTAAGCTCTCAGCTGTCAGCTGGTTTGTGACCAAGCTCTGGGCAACTCTCTCACTGGTCTTCCCTGACTTTTTTCCTCCCACAATTTAAAATCTAACACATTTAGAGCTGCAAGATGTACTACTCAATAGAAAAAATGGGACATTGCTTGGTTACTTAGCATTCATTTCCATTTTCCAAATATGATATTAGTTTCTGGAAAAGGGAACTGAAAAAGAGATCCCCATAGTGCTGAATTGTAAAGGGCTGAAGGGAGTTGAGACCAGCCTGGAGATGGCAGTGTCCTACTAGAGAGTGGAGGTGCTCCTGCTCCCAAACCAATGTGGAGGTGACTCTTGAGTTCAAAGGCTGCAGAGAACTCTGAGCAGCAGACTCAGAGATTGGGGATTTGGATAAGGAGGTTAGGCCTAGGCCTGTGAGATGCCCGGATGCAGCCCCAGCAAGGAACTTGCAGCCTGGGGACCCAACTTCCTGCTCTGTCCAATGGGCCTAGTGAATCCACCTGATGGGTGCTCACTGCTCCCAGCTGAGACAGAGGTGCTGGGGACAGTCTGCCCTAGGAGAGAGAGTGTGAGAACACGTAGTGTTCTAGGTAGACCCAACGGCCAAGCCTAGGAGTCCAGGGACAGGGTGTGAGCTGGGCCACCAGGTGGTAGGGATGGGGCAGCACAGCTGGGAGTCCCCAGCAGAGGTGGACAGCAGGTGGAGCCAGGAGGGGTACAGGTGGACATTGCCTTGGGAGGTCCCATACGCTGGTGTTCCCTGAGGTCATGGGAAGAGAAAGTGGGCATCAGAAGAAGAGGGGGCCCAAAGCCCAGTCAGAGGGGCCCCCACTTCAGGGCTGTGACAGAGCAACCTGATGATTCCTGAAGCAAATACTGCCAAGTGGTCCAGAAAGCTGAGACCCAGGAAAGGGGCTTGCCTCTCGCATCCCTAGTAATGTGCCTCAGGGATACTGTCTATTCTTTGGGACCCTTGGGGAGTGGATGATGAGCTACCAGCAGATGCTCCCCTTCTAGGGAGTTAGCTCCTGTCCAGGAAGGGTTTGGAAGCCACCCCTCTGCTGCCACCAAGTGGCTGTAGTGAGCCTGAGACCTGGGAGCCTTGCACCACGGCCTCGCTCCCCTGCTCCATGTAGGTAGCAGAAAGCCCCCTCTCTCCAAGGACACTCTCTCTTTCATCAGGTGACTGTCTTTCCTCACTGGTCTCCCTGTGGCCCAGCCCTGGTCCACCCCACTCGCCATTAATACAGCTTGCCTCCAAGGGCCCCTGTGCCACCCCTTGCTGCCCTTACCCAGGACAGACACCTCAGTCCTCCTCTGGCTGCAGTCGTTTGGACTCCAAAGGCTTAGCAGGGACCCATCCACCTCCTGCCTGCACTGGCACCCAGGACTCTGCAGGGCCCTGGCACTCTCTACTTGGCCACTACCCTGCTGGCCGATCTCCGTGGGCATCTCAGCCTGGCCTCCTCAGCCTGACCATACCAGTGCCATCTGCTGTGCAGACTCTCACTCAGCCACTCTCAAGCCTGAGAGAAGTTGTCTCTTTCCCTGGGCCCTGTCACCAAGGTCATTTCTGGATTTTAAACAAGCAGCCATCACTAGCTATGAGTGTCTCCTGCCCTGAGCTTCTGACTGCTGGCCGCCGCTATAGCTGGGCCTTCATTGTACCCTTCAAGGGACTTGTGCCTGTATTCCACATTTTCTAAGACAAAAACTTACCAAAATAATAACATCCTATTCTGAGAAGAAAACTGAGCAAGAGCAGGGCTGGGCCTCACTCCATCCATGTGCAGCCATTCTAGACAATTCCATCTGCCCCTGTCTCCCCTCATCTGGCCTCATTGGCACTTCTGTAAATGAGCTAACTTGGACCAGAAGATCTATGAATACATCTAAGGTCTCCAGCTTTGCATCTATGACTCAGCTTCAGTTTGTTCAACAAATATTTCTACCAAAATTTAGGGCTCCTTGGCCCAGGGAATCAGGCCAGAAGAGCTCCTTGTGCTATATGGCCAAGAGCTATTTTGCACCACACGCCTGGGCAAGCAGCCGGCATAGAAGGGGAGGGTGGGCTGGTTATGACAGTGTAGGAATGGCCTTGGCCAGAGTTCTGAGAGTCAGGGAGCATCATCTTCCTGGGTCTATGACACACTCCAAAGGAGGTCCAGCCTCCTGGCAGCATCATGCAGCCCTGGAAAGTTGGATGGAGAAGTCTAGAGCTACCACTGTATTGTAGACACCTCCTAGGAAGTAAGGAGGGGACACTCACCATCTTGGAGCAGCACTGAATACCAGCCTGAGGGCTGAAGCCATGCCACGGGGCAGAGGTATGTGTGAATGGTTCCTTTCGGAAGGGCAAGGCCATTAGGTCTATGTGAGGACAACAGGACTTTATGACTCAGTTTCACTGTGTGGACACGGTCCTCATCTGTGCTGTGCCTCAGTTTCTCCCTAGTCTGATGAAGGGAAAGGCCCATCCCTTGTGTCCCTGGGGTGGCCTTGCTACCCTCAGCAGCACCCTCTCCTCCTGCTCTCCCAGGCACCTCCTCCCACTGCCCCTTTGTCTGGGCCCATTCCTCTGTCTAGAAGTCTGTCTCCTCCCCCCAACCACTCTTTGCTTCCTCCCAGGTCCTCTCCCTGCACATCATGGTCCCAGTCTCCTTGGAATTTAGGGACATGAGGTTTTGGACAACCTGTGGCTGATGCTTAGCTATGGCAAGCAAATGACTTTTGAATCATGGGACAGTCACATGTGATCTAGTGTGTGAATGCCTATCTCCTGAAAGAGAGCTCAGAAGCTTCTCCTTCCTCATCTCAGCACCTCCCCCCGCTCCAGGGCCGCTGGTACACATATATGTCCAATCAGCAGGGCCAAAGTGCCCTGTTTCTTACACGAAGTGAAGAAGCCCTGGGAGGGAGATAGGGTCCCTCCTTGCCTCTGGAAACCTGCATCCCCTGTGCCTTGCACACTCTCTCTGGGGCCCAGTGTGCTACAGCTGCCACAGGTGCCTTGCTCCATGGCCAGCCCTGGCAAGCTTCCCTTCCCTGGAGGATCTCTTTCCCATCTTTAAGGACCAGCCACCCTTTCCATTGGTCCTTCACTTGCTACCATGGCCAGCTCTTGTCCTGATTCTGCTCAGAAAAGATCTCGGAAAAGTTGTCCACATGTCCTGGCTCCTTGCCTTGCCATCCCATAGAACCTTCTCAGGTCAAGGTCTCCAATGAACTGCTAAGGTCAAGAACCCGCCTCTGCCATGACTGGGTTAAGTCATCCTCTTGCTCTGGCCACATGGCCCTGAAGACTTCTCCTCCCTTCCTGGCCCCTGCCTTCGAGTCTCCCTTGAAGGCCCCTGCTGCAGCTGCTCACCCTCCCCTAGACATCATTCATGTAAAGATGCTTCTGGAATCTGTCTTCTGTTAGGACCATTGCTCTGAGCTCTCTCACTTCTATAGCCACTTACTCACTTGACATCTCCACAGGGATGTCCTGGACCTCACTTGGCACCAACCAAGCCCTCAACTTAGAACTATCCTCCTTTGTCCCCCAAACATGTGTCCCCTTGGACTTCTCAGACTAGTGATGGCAGTACCATCTACCCACTTCCCCAAGTCAGAGCCCCAGAGTCTTCCTGTCTCCTCCCTCTCCTTCCATCAGTCCTGCAGGTGTTATAGGCATCAAACTTCTAACTGCCACTCTCTCTAACCTGGTGGAGGCAGAACCTGAGCCAGGCCTGGAGGCCAAGCAGAAGAGGCCATTCTAGTGGGCAGGACAGGGCTTCCATGTGGGTGCAAGGGTGAGAGGACAAGCAGTGTCAAGTGTGCCATGGAGGGTCTGATCTGGGGAGTGGTGACTATGCCCCCTGGAGGACCTGAGGCTCTGTCATCACCCACTTCTCCAGACTCCTGTGGACAACCAGTTTGCTCTACTTATAACTCTGGCAGAAAGTAGTATGACATCCGGGAAGGCAGGAGAAAGAGGCCATTCTCTCCTTGCATTTATGTGCAAGGCCACAGCACAAAGGGCTGCCCCTCCCCCAATACCAACAACCTGGGCATCTCCCAGAGGAGAGAGTGGGTACCTCAGGCCGCACAGGGTCCTCGATGCCCACGACGGCTATGCAGGTGAGATCACCCACAACTTCATTTTCATTGTCCCAGTCAGGCTCCTGGGTGGCAGAGAAGTCCCGGTAGGCAATGCAGATAGTGCGGAGACCATCGCAAGCCATTGGCTCGATGATCTTCTTCACCATGTCGTCCCGGTCCCGAGGGCGGAAGCCTCGCAGTTCACCATTGCTGTTTAAGATGTTGGTGCACCTGGAGCAGGGACAGAGCAAGGAGAGCCACTGGCTGAGAGTCTGGGTGGGTGAGGGTCTGACCCTCCATGTGACACAGCAGAGGCTTTTCCAAGGAGGGACGCTCTTCTCACATGTGGCTGAATGGTATGTCCCTCAAAATTCATGTTCTTCCTAGAATCTCAGAATGTGACGTGATTTGGAAATAGTTGGGGTCACACTGGATTAGGGTAGGCACTCAATCCAATGACTGATGTCTTCATAAAAACAGAAGAGGACACACAGAGACAGATAACTACACAAGGGCAAAGCCATGTGATAACAGAGGCAGATGCTGGAGTGTGTATCTACAAGCCAAGGAATGCCAAGGTTTGCCTGTGACACTAGAAGTTGGGAGACACAAGAAAGAATCCTTTCTCGGAGGCTATGTAGGAAGCACCACCCTACCAACCACACCTTGATTTCATAGTTCTGGCCTCCAGAACTGAGAGAAAATGGATTTCTGTTGTTTTTAAGCCATCAGGTTTATGGTCCTTTGTTCTGGCAGCCCCAGGAGCTAAAAACTCATAGGGTGAGGTAGGTTAGGAGACCAAAGGGAGGCCAGAGCACGGGGCTCATTGCAGCTCCTCACAGATTCCACAGGCTGTAGGGCGAGAGTGTGGCACATTGGCAAAAACTGAATGCCATGTAGTGGGCCATGACAAGCTCAGTACGAGCTTTGGTGACCCTGGAAGCTTCTCAGAAGGGCCAGGATGGTGAAAGTTGGCAGAATTTGGGTGTGGAAGAGGAAGGAGCAAAGGAGCCAAGGGCCCCAGAGACAGGCGTGCTGGGGGCGGGGGTGAAGAAGGAAAGAAGGAGCTGGCTGTGGAGGCCAACAGGAAGCCATGATCACAGCAAAAGCTGGCACGCATTCACTTGTGTAATTTTCACAACACTTGCAGGAGGTAAGTATTCTTCTTATCTCCATGTTACAGGGAAAACTGAGGGGAATTTGTTCACATTTGCACAGCAAGTAGAGTAGCACTGGGCCTGGAATCCAGTGTTTCACCACAGCCCTCTTCCATGCTTTCCCAAGTCCAGCTGCCACACCCACAGGGATGTAGCAGAGATGGCTTTAGGGAGGAGGTGGTCTTTGAACCACACATGGGAGGTTGTGCATGGGCAGTTTCAGAGAGAACATTCTGGGTGGGGCAGTGGTCGGGAGAGGCCAGGACACAACTGGGGGGGCTGCACTTAGTTGTCCTATGGGTGCTGGGAACCCCAGATGTCCTGCTGAGGACTCTGTCCTGAAGTCCCTGGAAGGCTAGTTATGGGTTCAGAGGCATAATAAGGTCGCACCTTAGAAGCTGCCTCTGAGTAAGCGATTTGCCAGGTGGGCAGGGGAGCGTCACTGGGGCTGCTACAATACTGGGGAAGAGAGAGGCCAAGACCAAAGGGAGATGTGGAGGCTGATCAAGCTTAGAGGGTTTGGGGCAGTTGGAGGCAGAGCTGCGTGCTCCCCACTCAATTTTTCTAACAGCTTTATTGAGATATAATTCAAACACCACACAATTCACCTTTTAAAATGTATAATTCAATGGCTTTTAGTATAGTCACAGATCTGTGCAACCATCACCAGTCACCTTTACAACACTTTCATCATGTGTAAAAGAAAACCTGTACAGGCTACAAAAGGAAAAGAGAAATAAACTTGACTTTACAATTGAAAACCATTTGTGCATCCCAGGACAAATCAAGAGTAAAAAGAAATAAAAATCTATCAAGAGAGTGAAAAGATAGTCCATAACATGGAAGAAAATATTTACAAATCAGATACATGTTAAAGATCTAGCATTCAGAATACATAGAGAATTCTTACAGCTCAACAATAAAAGACAACTCAAATCAAAGATGGGCAAAGATCTAAATAGGCATTTCTCCAACGAAGATGTGCAAATGGCCAAGGAGCTTATGAAAAGGCACCAACATCACCAGTCATCAGGGAAATACCATTAGAAACCACCATGAGGTCTCCCTTCACATCCACTAGGATGGCAATTATAATAAGAATAGTAATGATAACAACAAGAAGAAGAAGAGGAGGAGGAAGGTAAAGAAGAAGGAGGTAACACAAGTTGATGAGCATGAGAGAAGTAAGAATGCTCATGCATTGCTGGTAGGAATGTAAAATGGTGCAGCTGCTCTGGAAAATACTATGATGGTTCCTCCAAGAGTCATTCCCAGAATTACCATATGACCCAGTAATTCTACTTCTAAAAATATACCCAAGAGAACTGAAAACACGTGTTTAAACAAAAACGTGTACAGCAATGTTCATAGCAGCGCGAGTCACAGTAGCAAAGGTGGAAACATCCAAGTGTCTCTCAGTGGATGAGTGGATAAGCCAAATGGAGCTTATCCATGCAATGGAATATTATTCAACCATAAAAGGGAATAAAGCTCTGATCCATGCTATGATGTGGTTGAACCTTGAAAACACTGTTCTGAGTGAAAGAAGCCAGACACAAAAGGCCATTCATTGTATGATTCCATTTATATGAAATGTGGAAACTGGCAAATCCACAGAGACAGAAAGATTAGTAGTTGCCAAGGGTTGGAAGGGGCATGGGAGCGACAGCACAGGGTTTCCTTTGGGGGTGATGACAATATTTTGCAACTGGGTAGTGGTAATGTGTACAACATTGTTAATTCATTTAATGCCATCGAGCTGTATGCTTTAGTGATGAAAATGGCCAATTATATGTTATGTCTATTTTAGCATGATAGTAATACCAGAATGCTTGTATCCTTCAGGCACCCCAAGCCCTAGGCTTGTTCCTGTGACCCACTTACTTTTTCAGCAGGATCTCTGAAGCACCCTTGCTGAAGAGGCGAAAACCACCATCGGGCATGCGGATGACTGTGCTCATGGACTTGCGGACTGAGTTGAAGGTGTATACTTTGTAAAGCTTATCTTCTGGAATCTGTTCCCGCACAGGCTGGAAGTCCCGCTTCAGGTCCAGGATGAAGCCCAGCAGAGCGCATTCTGTCTTGTTGCCCACTTGGCGTGGGAGGGCACCTTCCTTCTCTGGAGGCTGTGAGGTGAGGCAAACCAGCATGGGTCCAGGCCCAAGTCCACCCTCCTTACTACCCTTGACACCCCAGCCTGGCCATAGTCACCACGTCTTTAGGGTGTGGTGGCAGAGAGCCAAAGAGTGCCTCCAGCGTGGACCAGATGGGCAGGTATCACACCATTCACTGGACTTGGAAGGGGCGTTCGAAACCAGCAGGCAGGGTAGGAGTATTGGGACCACAGATGAGGGAAGGGTGACCAGTACCCTAGAGATCATCGTAGTTCTGGTCAAAAGTTCTTAAGAGAGCATAGTGAGCCCCAGGCCCCTTCTCTTGTCCCAGCCCCACTTTTGGCTTACTAGTATTTTGGTGGTGTAGGCACTGTTGATGGAGATGGCGTGGACCAGGAGGTCGAGTATCTTGGGGGTCAGGGCGCTGGGGGCCGGAATCTCTTTGTAGTGGGTGTCCCCGAGGTAGGACTGGACCACGGTCATACGGTTGGTGGTGAGTGTGCCCGTCTTGTCTGAGCAGATGGCTGTGGCATTGCCCATCGTCTCACAGGCATCCAGGTGTCTGACCAGGTTGTTGTCCTTCATCATTTTCTGTAAAGAGGACAGATGTCGTGTATGATTCTGCTTTGCCTATCCATCTTTCCATGCAGCACTAACAGACCAGGGCCTAACAGCAGCACTCAAAGGCACAGCTTGGAGTAGCTGCAGGGTGATCGTCAAACCTAGGCAGCAAGCCTGGAAGGCCTAAGTACTCTGAGCAGACAGGCTGAGTGACCGATTCTGGGCAGCTGCTCTACCCACAGCTAACCTGGGGCCTCCCTACAGCCTAGGACCACTCCCCTGTATACAGTGACCTCTTAAGTCACATGCTAGCCCTGTAGCTCCCCCTACATATCTGCTATACTTCACCCACTGTCTCCCAGTGGGACCTCTCCTGAATACCGTCCTCCCGTCCCCACCTCTGCAAGTGGAACCAGTTTTCTCAACTCCCTGGCCCCTCTGTGCCCCTGGTCTCATGCTGCAGATGCCAAGTCTATCCCACTGCCAGCCTTTCTTGCTCATGGCACTGTGCCCAGGAAGCTGAGTGGGTCCCAGCTTAGCCTCCCACTCTGCCCCTGAGACATGGATCCCAAACTCTCCAGTTCTCACTACATCCAAGATGCTTACAGGCTCTACACCCTAGATTTTGGGTTTGTATCCTGGTATCACAGATTTTTAGTCCTACTACTGTGTTTCATATTATTACCTTGACAGAGTAAGCTAAGGAGATGGTGACAGCAAGAGGCAGGCCCTCCGGGACAGCCACAACCAGCACAGTGACACCGATGATGAAGAACTTCACGAAGTACTGCACATAGACCGGTGTGCACTCTGCCAGCCACACCCGGCCCTCCACAACGAAGGTATCAATCACAAAGTAGAGGACCAGGATAATGACGGTGATGGCAGACATCACTAGCCCTGCCCAGCCACAGCAGAGGTGACAGAGGATGGGGGCAGGAATGGAGGTCGGCAGGAGCGAGAAAGGGAGAGAGCAAAAGGGAAGAGTTAAGGGATGCTGCAGCTGGTGCCAGCTTGAACTGAGTTGAGGGAGGTGCTTCCTGTCTCAGGCCTTATGATGGATGGGTTTAGAATCCATGCTCACCAGAAGGGGGCTGGACAAGGCCCTGACGGCAATCACCCCCCTGGCCTGGTCCCTTGCTGTCTGGTCCACACCACCTTCCACACCCGTTTCCCACTTGCTCTCCACAGCCTGGCCTCATGTCCAGGAAACCTGGTGTCCTCCTTGCCCGACAGGGGCCCTGGGCCACCCCTCTGCAATCCCCACCTGCTTTCCCGATCTGCACAGCCAGTTTGGTGAGCTTGCCCTGCAGGACCGACTTCTCCTTCTTGGGCACGTTGGCTTTCTTCTTTTCCCGCTCCTCCATCTCCCCGCCCTCTGCACTCTTCAGGGGCTGCATTTCCATGGCAACTGCCCCATCCTGCTTCTTAGCTGCACACAGAGGAACCCACAGCCAAGATTAGGGCCTGGCTACTGGGGTGACAGCTACAAGGGGCTTTCGTAGGGAAAGACATGCCACATCATACAAGAGGACATGGGGTTCAGGGGGTTTCTCTGATTTCTGAGTGTGACACTGTCTGGTGCTTTCTCCTCTTTCTCCTCTGTCCTTGGCAGCCCAGGCCCTCCTGAGTGGGATGGAGATGGTTCTCTTGAGGCTTCACAGGGGAAGGAAGGACAGACACAAGCACAAGTAACTTGGGCACACAGATAGGGCAGCCAGTGCTGTAATGCCCCAAGTCTCAATACCTGAGAGCAGAGGCCTGGGCTCAAGGAACATTCTAGAACCCTGAGCTGACTGATTCATTGGCCCACCTGTGTCTAAACCACCTATTCGCTCCCCTCAGGGAGGCCCAGGAGCCCTTGCACTCTCCTCTCCTGCTCCTTGCTCAGGCGGTCTCTTCCTGCCAGCGCTTCGACTTCCATCAAGGACCCAGATCATCACGAGTGTTCTCAGCTTGCTCCCTGGTTGCTGGAGGCTGTTGCCCAAACGGGCTGCCCTGGGCAAGACTTGCATCTCTCTCTCTCTTCATCGAACTACTCTCCTGCAGCTACCTTCCTGCCTCTCTTGAACAGACAGCCTCGTCATGACTTTCCCAGTGGCCCTGTGCTCCTCATGCTGCCCCTGATGTGGTGGTGTTGATGTTGGTGGTGTGTCCCATACTCTGCCTCTATCACCCCTGTCACTTCACACATGCTGTGAGGGTCTCCAACTGTACTGCCTCAGGTGATTTTGTGCATCCCTTACCCAGAGGGGACACCCAAACCTGCCACTCATCTTTCTGCCTCATTGCTCTTGTCCCTACCCATGGGGCTCTTAGTGCTCTTGACACCATCTCTGCACACCCCCTGCTGCCTCACTGTCTGCTGCTTTGTCTTGCTTCCAGTCTTCTCAGCCATCCCTTCTTCCTTGACTGTCTGAGACCACTCATTGATGGCTTCTTCCCAGGGGCCTCGGGTCACAGCCTCAGCAACACTCAAGGCCCCACCTAGCTGGACTGCTATAGCCTTGTGCACCACTGACTATCATGACTGTCACTCTCTGCCCCAGCCCAGGACCCTAGCCATCGGGCTGTCACTCTGTCACAAATGCCCTTCCAAGCCAAGCTATGCTCTGCATTCTTGTTTGCTTCTCTGACCCTGTCTTGGTCCCTAGGTCCCATGCTGCACTTGAGGGCTGCCCCTGAGTCCATCTATCTGGACTGTACATTTTCTGAGGGCTGAGATGGTGCTTTATCCACCTTTGGATCCCCAGTGCCTACGAATGACCGCTGATAGGCCTTCATCCCAGCCACCCAGGCTCAGCTCTCACCAGGCATTGAGGCCGAGAGGAGAGTAGGCCTCGGCCCTTGGATGTCTGTCCAAAAGAAAGGCAGCTGAACTGGGAAACCCACAGGCCTGGTTATGCCATGGGCAAGTCACAAAGGTGATCTTTGCACACTCCTGGCAGGGTTTCGGAGGGGCCACCCTACCTGTCTCATCTGGTCTCTACATGCTGCTCCTGGGACTGAGGTGGGCAGCCCCCCGCCCTGAGTTGTGCCCTCTGTCTACCACCCCATCCTGAGTGCAGGGCAGGCATTACCTTTGGTCTGGCTACTCTCCATCGCTCCATCTTGCTGCTTGCCTATAATGGAAAAGGAACGACAGACACAAAGACTTGAGAACAACCACATGACCCTGGCGCATGCACACACAAAGGACAGCAGGGCACAGACAGTCCAATGGCGATCACAGCCGAAAGGCAGGAGAGAGGGGAGGAGGGCCCTATTTTCTCCAGGCTCACGTTGATGCCCTCTCGCCACCTTCCAGCACGTAGCACATGGTTGCTGTGAGCATTTGGGCTTCCTAAGTAAGACCCCATTGGTCCTTGACCCCAGCCCTCCAGTGAACTCCCGAAGCCAGCCCTCGATGAATCCTGGGTTATGTGTGGAGGGCAGTAGGTTTCCGAAAAGGTCATCACCATGGGGAGTGAGGGCTGCCAGGTATCTTATCCCAGCTCTGCCACTTTGAGTAGGGCCCCCCCAGTCAAGACATGTGTTCCTCCTAAGACCAGTACAAGGAGCTTAGCTAGATGGTTCCTAATTCCTGCTGGCCTAGAGGTCAGCTTTCTCTGCATCTTGGCTTGTAGTAAGCTCTATGTGTACTTTTTGAGGGACAAAGGAGACTTTAGGAATTTGCCAGGCTCAGGACACTGGACTGGGTGCTGAGCACCTATCACTGGAGGGAGCGGCAGAGGCATGGGATGAGCTGGGTCCCAGGTGGACTTAGGTGGGGGGTTTAGGGGGTGGGTACACCTGATAGAAAGGACTCAGCTAGCCTCCTCCATAGTCCCTGCAGCCAACAACTGTTACACAAATGCAAGAGCTCCCAGAACGTGTTCTGCAACCACAAAGCCTGCACCTGGGTGTCAGGGCCTGTGCAGTGACAGTTTCCCAAGGCCAAAGGAAGCAGTGCTAGTCACGCCTCTGGTTTCCAAAGGCTGCAACTCTGGAAGGGCCCAGGAAACCTGACAGGCAAGGGGGCTATGGCAGGGATGCTGGTGCTGTTTTTGGGGCCCAGCTCTGTACACCAGTTCTTCCTGGAGGCCACATGTGAGCTGGCAGGATCCAGAGATAACCCAATCTGGGGCAGGAGGGGCTTATGGGATGACTGTCAGCCACCACCCAATAGCTCATGTCACTGGGGATCAATGAACACTGGGTGCCAGGTGGCTCCCAGGCAGTAGGGTCTGCTGTGGGGGCCCTAGGGAGAAGTGAAAGACCCTTTGTGGGGAAAGGTGGAGTGTGGGTTGGATCTTCTCTGCCTAGATCCTCTGAGGAGGTCCAGTGGGGGTTCAGAGATGGAGAAGACTTCTGGGGGGAGGGGAGACACTTGCAGATGCACGGGGACAATACAGCGCAATGAGGGTGTGTTGCTGGAAGCCCTGGAGCTGTGGAGGCCCAGAAGAAGAATGGACCCAGAGGACCCAGGCTGTGGCCCGGGCCCGGGGAGGCCTGTGGAGGAAGGAGGAAGGGTTGGGATGAGCACTACAGGAAGAGGAAGATTGTGCCCAGCCTGAGAGGGACAGGAGCCAAAGGAGGGGAGGCAGAGGGGAAGGAGGGCACCCCGAGGAGAAGGGTGGCTAGGAATCAAGACCAAAAGGTAAGCCACAGGTGGGAGGGGGAAGCAGGCAGGAAGGGAGTGTTGGGGAGATAGCCCAAGTTAGGATACAGTGAAAGCCAGGGACAAGCACTGGGAATGGCCACCTTCCTATTTCCACAGTGGCCCAGTCCTTGGGTAAAACCTCAGGGCTCGTGGATGCTGCTGCTCACTCCCCTGAACCTGGCCAACTCTCTTCCCCCTCCAGGGTCCCTTCAGCATTCCCCTCCTCCAGAAAGCAAGCTGTTGGAGGTGTCCCCTCTGACTCCTAAGTAGCCCAGCCTGGGGTGCTGGAGAAGGGCAAGGGGGGAGGGACCTTGGGGGGGAGGGGTTTTGTCAAGGTCAAAGTGGAGGGGCCTAAGAAGGAGTGTGGAAATGGTGCCCCACCAACTAGCTACCAGGGTGTTGGTGAAGTACCACCAGGCAAAATGAGCTGGGCTTCCCTGGAGAGAGGCATGGGGACTCCAGCCCAGCCCAGATGAGGCCCAGGGCCTGCCTACCCATCCACTTGCCTGCTTATGGAGCCCAGGGCACTCACTATAGAGAAACACTGGGCTGAGCCCTGCAGGGAGAAGGGGCTAGATATGGTAAAGGTGGAAGAAGGTCAACCAGCGGCTGTGAGGGGTGGGCCTGGCCAGCTAGAAGCTGGAAGGTGCCAGGAGACAGGGCCCATGGTAGCTTCTAGGTAGCAGCTCTCATCTACCTCCTCCGTTGCTACCTCCAGGAGCAGGGAGGTCAAGGGCTGGGGACGCTAGCACATCCTACCTCATGCTGACCTGTCCTTGTGTTGCTGGGGCTGGACAGACTGATCCTGCCTGCTCTTCTGGTCCAGTGGCATTGACTAACTGAGATAGGGCCAGTGACTGGCACTCTTCTGTCCCCTGCCCTGTTCAGCAGCCCCAGCATCTCACTGCCTCTGGGGCACTGGTTGCAGGCTTCTAGCACATGTTCTCCTTGTGCATGTACAGTTTGTTTACACTTCTAATAGGTCCTAGTATATTCTCTCAGAGGTGAGACACACACCTAGAAAACTCTGTTTTCCACCTGGTTCAACTATAGGACAGGAGACCCAGGCCAGAGCACAGTGAGTCATGAGCAGGTACAGACCTGCTTCACAGAAGAGAATGGAGTCCTGACTGGAGGGGCCAGGACAAGATGGTGGATGCTGAGGGCAGTTCTGTAGCTTTGTAAGCCTTGTTGTGAGGACTGGAGGGGACACTGGCCATGTCTGGGTCTCAGAGCAGAGGCAAGAGGAAGCAGCGGGAAGGTCTGGGTAGCTATAGAGCTGGGTTCTTGGAAGACATTTGTTTCTGGACACTGCTTTCTCTTGGGAAGAGGATCCCTGTCCATTCCAGCTTCCTCCAGCCCTGGACATCCTTCGGGGGTTCTGCCCTCACTTCTGCTTGGGGGCCCTCCACCTTTGGCTGCATGATCTGCACATCCTGGCCGCAACATCAGCCTGGGACCCTAACACTTTACCATGGTGGTTGAGCACCTCTGAGGGTGTGTGGCATTCTCCCAAGCCCCTGTCATTCTGACCCCATTCCTACCAAGGCAGGGTACTCACCCAAACCTGGCACGTAAATCCCAAAGCCTTTGGGGAATAGCCATCTGAGCGAAGCTGCTCTTACACAGAAATTTGGGGGACCCCTGACCTACTGGCTCTGGGGCAAAGACCCCAAAAGAGGGGTCTCCAAAAGGAATAAGAAGAGAGGGTATGGCCTCCCACCCCCGAGGGCTATCTCTCCCATAGTGAGAACCAAAGTTAGAGCCAAGGACTGGGCCAGCGAGTGTCCGCCAGCAGGCAGAGAAGAAAGAGCGAGTTATGTAGAAGAGGGGCTAACCTCTCATTAACACTGGGAACTGGGGGTCTCTGTGGCCTTACCTTTCTTATCCTTCTTCTCCTCCTCCTCTCCACCTGCTCCAAGCAAGGTAAAGATGATGCCTGTCTGGGAGTTCACACCCACAGCTGTCACCACCATTCTTCCAGAACCTTCCATGACATGAGTGCCTGTCATAATCAACACAGAGAGACCGAGACAGAGATTTGCACCACCAGGTGGGAGGCATGCTCAGCACCTATAGGTTTGATTCCAGGAATCCCAGAAGCAGGGACTCAGTGTCTGGAGGTCCCTGGAGGTGACATTGACCCTAAGCCTAGACCAAAGCCTCATTCTTGGCTTGGAGCAGCTGCTTTCCCAGAGGCACTGGGTGAGCCATTCGTAAGGCCCAGCTGGAGCTTCCAGCCTCTCTGTCTTGTACACTGCATTTACCACTGGGATAAACACTAGGCTAAGATAGAACATTCTGGAAAGGGAACACTATCCCCCCTGGCTCTTTGTGAGGGTCTGGATTGGAGCATGGCACTGTGTTGACCCAGAGCCAGCTCCTACCTCTAAGGACTTCCTTGAGGACATCAGGGGTCTCTGGGGTTGGAGAGGCTCATGTCTTTCCCTGAGGCTGGAGCACCACCACCATGCCTCCCACAGGCTGCTCTGGCCTCGAGGAGGGTGAAGTCTTCAGACTCCCTAATCAGAAGGGATACTGGGGTGGGGCAGAGTGGTGCTGGTTGAAGGGGTTGTTGGGCCAAATGCCTTCCAAGGCTCCTCAGTGCTGGGCTGCTCCAATGGGGTGGCAGCCAGCCAACTCCCAGCTTCCCCAAGGGCTGGGTCAGTGCCCTGAGGCCTCACCTGAGAGCAGCATGGGGTCTTTGTCGGCTGATTTGCGCACGTGGTCTGATTCTCCTGTCAGGGAGCTCTCATCGATTTTGAGGTCGTTGCCCTGGATGAGCACGCCATCGGCAGGCAGCAGGTCTCCTAAGGCCAGCCAGGCAGCCAGAACCACAGACTATGGGTCCAGGTGGCCTTCCTCCCCGTGGCCTCGTGCCTCACTCGGGGGGAGGTCCCATTGGATACAGGGCCCTCTTCCTTCAGCCTCCTCCTTTCTGGGGAGACCCACCAATCACTAGGCCTGTGTTCCAGCTCCCAGAGAGTGGGGGCAACAGAAGTGTCCTGCAGTATTGGGGAAGGCTTTGACAGGCCATGTGGATAGCTTGTGTTCCTGGGACCCCCTGCTCATGAACCCCCACCTCCAGCTTCCCACAGGGTGAGGGCACACATGCTCCTGGTGAGAAGGCCTGCACTGGGTGTGTGTGTGTGGGGTCTCCTCTGTCCCACACTACCGCCAAAATGGGAGCTGAGCTTCCTTTGCAGAGTGAGCCATGATGGTCACACTCACCATACTTGACCTGGGCGATGTCCCCTACCACCAGTGCAGCCACGGGGACCTGGAGGAGCTGCCCATTCCGGATGACTGTGAACTTCTGTTCTTGCTCTATACGGCTCTGCAGGCCTCGGAACTGCTTCTCCTTGCTCCAGTCATTGAAGGCCGTGACCAATACCACACAGATGACAGACAGCAAGATGGCTGCTCCCTCGATCCAGCCAGCCTCGGCCTCTCCTTCATCTTCTGCCCCAGCTGACACATTCCCGCATGCTGTGCCCAAGGACAGAGAGGAGTACAAAGGTGGCAGAGGAGTCACTCCAGCCAGCTCCTTCCTGACACTGGAGCAAGGACATCCTCTGACCCTCCCTCATTTTAGGTTCCATTCCTCCCCTCCTGCCAGCCCAACTGTGCTGCTGCCCTTGTCCTGCACCTTCCTGCCATGCCTCCCTCACCAGCCCTCTGGGTCCTACCCCTCACCTTCACTCTCCTCGCCTGGTGGTGCGTAGAACGACAGACCCAGGGAGACGATGGCAGCCACCTCCAGAATGATGAGGGTTACGTCTTGTAGGGCCTCCCACACCAGCTGCAGGAAGGTCTTGGGCTGCTTGGGTGGGATGAAGTTCTGCCCATAGATCTGCCTGCGCTTCTCCAAGTCACTGGCATTGTCAGCCAGGCCTGCAATAGAGAGCAGAGGGACAGACATGACAGGAAAGGCAACCGGGCCCCATGTGGCCTTGCTCCTTCTTCCGCTTCTCCTGAGCAATTCTGCATCTCCTTCTACACTGAAAGCACCAGTAGGTGGAAACTGCACTGGCCTGGCAAACTCTGGGGGCATGTATCTGGGAATGCCTACGTGGCCCCTCCAGCTGCCTGGATAGCTGGGGCATGTAACCACTACATACCTCAGAGCTCCTAGCATGAGGAAGGGCTGGACTACCCTCCTGATACACTTGGGGGGGGGGTCTAGGGACTATGGTGGGTCACTCCAAAGGGATCTTGTCAGTCTTGTTCATGCTATTGAGCAAGGGCCTGGCGCCCATGATGCAGGCGAGTTGTATAGAGACTACTGCCAGCCTTCTGCCTCTAGAGCATGAGTCTTATGGCCTGCCCTCCAGAGACAGCTGCCTCCTTCCTGATGCCTTTTGCAGACCCTACTGCAGTGCCACTCTGCATCCAGAGCAGGGGGTCACAATGAAGAACAGGACAGGACATGAGCTCCTTGCTCTGCCCATTGGCCCCCTGGTAGCTGCATGCTCGGTGGCTACTGAACATCTGTAAGTCTAATGAGATTGCCAATAGGTCACACTCGTGCCACAGTGTCTTCAGGCCATCAGGCAGAGGACAAGGAGGGTGAAGGCTGGGGAAACTTGTTCCAGTGGGGAAGACCCTGTGGCCTGAGCAGATGAGGCACTGTGACATGGGGATGAGAAGCTGAAAGGGGCCTGACCACATAGTTCTAAAACCTTGGGAGGCCCCTCACATCCTGAATAAGCTGCTGTTTGGGGGCTGGGAGGGAGGGTGGGTCTGGTCAACACAGGGGCTGTGCATGGCTACAAAGTGGCTAGTCTGGCATTTGGAAGCTAGAACCTTACTTCTCTTCCTGGGACAACCCACTTCCTACCCAGGCCTGTGCGGAGGCCTCTGGGTCTCTGCCCCTAGAGCATGAGTGTCCTCAGGCCCATGCCTGAAAGTAGCAAAGGCTGTGTGGGACTGGCGTCCAGGCCACTGCCTCCGAAGGCTAGATTCTGACTTGGCCACCTTCCCCAGAGGCAGGCAGATGGGATGATGCAGTCCCCTGCCCCACCCTCAGCCCTCAGGATTCTGCTTCCTTCCAGGGTCATCTGTCTACCAAGCTTCCCACGCCCCCGCCCAGTGCTGCCCTAGTTCCCCAGGCTTTTCCTCTTCTCTTCCCCCAGTGCCCAGTCTCACACTGACACCTGGTGGACTAATGGCAACTTGCAGTTCCCAGCCCTGAGTTAGCTGCCACTCCCATGGTCTCTCTCAGGGACAGGGGTCTACCGGAAGGCTCGAGTCAGCCCACAGGGTACTCCCAGCCAGCTTGGAAAGGCATACAAGACCAGGCCCCACAGGACTTGAGAACAAGAAAGTGATAAGTGTGGTGTTGAAGGAGTCAGGAGGAAGGAGAGTGGGTGTGCACTGGGCAGAGAAAGAAAGCTTCTGGGGAGGAGCATGGTGGGGCCTCTTGGAGGTAGAAGGACTGATAAGAGCAAAAGCCCACAGCCAGCACAGAGTTGGCACATCTCCTGAGCTAGGCAATGACCACATGCTGTCCTCCCCACCCAGCAGAGCTGCAGCTGTCCCTGCCCTTCTCCCCCTGGCCTCATCATGAGGGGCCAGCTGTGGCTCAAGTTTCTGGAGTCTGCAACTTCCCAGTTTGGTGTTTAGGAGAAGCTCAGGTCCTTAGATCCTAAGGGCTAGGGACCCAGCTGAGGGCCTGTACCCCACTCCTGACTGGGGCTTGCGTCCTTGAGCTACAAGAGATATAAAAGGTGTGGTCAGGACTAAGAAGGCATTTGAACTGAATCCTGGGTCTCCCAGACACCCAGGGTCTCACCCTGCTCCTGCCCCAGGAAAGGACACTGATCTGGAGCCCATGAGAACAACTCCCCCATCCCGAGTTTATGGTCTATGGCACCACATGAATCTGCACCCTGCCTGCCCTGCCCCACATACCCAGCTTGTCCCCACTGGAAGTTGTGCCCTCAGGGGGCCTTGTCCCCTGGAGCTCCTTCCCTCCTTTCTTCCCTCCCTCCCTCCTCTCTCCCTCCCTCTCTCCCTTCCTCCCTCCTCCAGCCTGTCCTTTGGCCTTGGTTTGCCCTCGATGCTGCTGTAATGCTTCCCTCTCTCTTGCCCTAGACCAGCTGGAGGCCTTGACCTTCCTGTAGGCTCAGGGGTCCTGACATCTGCCGCCACTGAAGTACTCACAGGGTGGAAGGCAGCTACAGCCCCTCTGGTTCCAAGCATGCCCTGGCCTAGCAGGCCCCCAAGGGCGGCCCACATTCAGGGTGTGGGGACAGGGGCCACTGGTTGGCATAGACACAGATGGGCATCCTGCCCAGAGCAGAGGCCAGATGCCATTGGAATTGGATTAAGACCACGTCGTGCGGCTCCAGGCTAATCCACCCCCTCCTTTCCGTGACTGCTGGTGGAGGCCAGACAGAGGAAGGGCCGGGACCCAGGGCCCCCAAGCAGGCCTACCACTGAGCTCAGCCTAAGATCTGGGTTCCTTGGCTTCTGGAATCCTCCTGGATTGCTAAAAGTCTCCTCTCCAGTATACCATGCACCTCCCTACCCTCCCCAAAGCACGACTCTGCCAGCACTCCCAGTCTGCCCAGCAGTGTGCCCTAAGGGGTTGGTGTAGTGCCTGGGGGCATAGCTAAGCCAACCCCTTGCACAAGCTAAGTCCACTATGTCTGGGCAGGAGTGGGTGGGGGTCTGGGTGAGAGGTCTAGGACTAGGTTGGCAGGTGTGTGAGGATCCCACACTTGCTGGAGGGCCAGAGTCAACCACTCCTGGTGCCCAGACCTTGAGGGCTCCCAGAGCCAAAGAGGCGAGGGGTGGTCCTCACACCATTCATCCTTTGGGACGCAGGCCAGGCCTGGTCAGTTCCTTCTATTGGGGCTGGGCCACCAACCTGGGCACCTGCCTTTCTCCATGCCAGCCCCTCCACAGGCAGCGGGTGTGCTCCAGAGCTGCTGTGGCAGAATCAGGCAGGTTCCCAGGGGCCTTGACATTTTAAATATTTAACAAAGCCTGACAGGCAGAGGAAAGAGCTGCCAGCTGAAGCCCATCTGCTTCCTTTTATCTGGGGGAGGCCAGAGCTCTTGTGGCTAAATGGCCCCAGATCATGAGGGAGGGCAAGGAGGAGGGAAGGAGAGAGATCCTCTGGCCCTGAGCCAGACCATCTGCCCCCATGACACACTGTGCCGGGCTGAGCCCCTTGACAGTGCAAACCGAGAGAGACTCAGGATGTCCAGGGAAGGTCACCTACCTTGGAGTTCCTAACCTGGTCAGGTGGGCACACTCACCTGGCCCTTGGACCCACTTCCTCCCAGGTGGGCCATTTGCACTCCCTGTTCCAGCCCATGAGCCACCCGCAGACAGATGGGACCAGGGAGCAGGAGACAAGGGCGATGGCCAGGGCCCTGGGTAGATGAAGATGTGATGGCTGGGAGCAGAGCTGATGAGATCAATCAGTGCTGGCCCAGAACAGGCCTGGCACTGGGCTGGGACAGCCCCAGCAGCCTTGACAGGGAGGTGCCAGCTGGGACAGAGAACACTCCAGCTCTTGGAATCTGGAGCCAAGCCTGGCTCCTGGTGGTCCTGGCTTCCCAGCAGACCCAGCAGGCAGGACTGGGGAAGGCTGGTACAGGGCAGGGTGGAAGATTGCCTCCAGATCAGGGGGAAAGGACCACAGGGCAGAGGCAGGGAACCAAGGTGGCAGTCAGGTCTCCACTCCTAGAACCTTCTAAAGGATGCTCCCAGGCTCCATAGAGACTCCCTGCAGCAGATTTGCTCAGATCCATACCGCTTCATGCTTGCACCTCTTTGGGATAGACTGCCACAAGTGCGACCTCCGCTTGGCACTCTGGGCACCACCCCCTCAGGCCCCACTGTCTGGAAGTCATCCCCTCCCTTGCCAGGGAGAGGCCTCCTATAACCCAAGCCCTCAGAGGGTCCATACTCTACACTCCTTCCTCTTAACTGGACACAAGGCTGAGTGCACGGGGCACCCCAAACATACAGAAAAGGGCCATCTGGCCTGCATGGGCTGACGTGGTGCTGTTTCCTCTCTTCCCCTTTTCTGTCACTCAATCTCTATTATTCCAAAGAACAGATGAATCCAGGGAGCTGCTGATTATGAAGGTGCAGGCACAGGGGTCTGGCCAAAGCTCTTTGAAGACTGCGGGTTGCCTAGAGGGTGACCCTCCCACCCCATGCAGACAATCTCCCGCTCAGGAGGAAATGGCTGCCCGGAGAGGGCATGGTCAGAGTAAGAGTACTTCTCAAAAGCTGCTGCAGTGGCACCACCCAGCCCTTGACTGGGCCTGCTTCGGGTAGGGAATATCTTCAGGATGTCCCTAGATGGCCGGGAGGAGTGTTGGGTGGCACATGACCCAGAGTCCCCTTTGAACACGTGGTTGTGCTGGGTCTCTGCTAGCAGACTTACCCTCTGTGGGCGAGGTCTTCAGCCTCCTACAGAGCCCGCTGACATCCCCATAAGCTTCTTGGACCTTCTGCAGTGCTTCGGCCCCTCGGAGCTCCATGAGGGAGCGCAGTTCAGCCAGTGTGCACCCAAAGCCTCCTGCATGGGGGGCCTCCCGCTGCTGGGGCTTGGGGTGGAACTCGATAGAACTGTTGGCCATGTCGCCCATCCTGCCTGTTGCACTGGGAGGAGAGGATGCTGGGCCTTCTCACAGGTGCAGCCTCAGGGGCAGGTGGCCACCTGAGGTCCCAGTGCCTGGGGGAGGTGCAGCAGAGGTGGTGGCAGCAGGGAAGTGGCCAAGTGTGGATACCTGGGAAGACAGGGGTGAGATGAAGCCAGGGGTACAGTTGAAACAAAACCAAGGTCCATTCTTCTAGAATGTTCTCTGCCAGTCTGCGCTCAGTCCAAGTCATGGTTCACTAAGTACAAAATTCATCCCTCAAGCTGGGCTTGTGCTGCCCCTGTTGCCCTGACAGGCTCACCTGCCAGGCCAGCTCTCAGTCATGCCCACCATGAGCACCCAAGCTGGGAGGGCAGGACTGATTAGTGATGGCCTTGTCCTGGCATGGGTGGGTTAGCCGTGTCATGGTCCTCTCATGGCTATGCCCCTCCTCCAGCAAATCATCCAATCCATCATTCTAGTTCTTGCCTGATTAAGACTTGCCCTGTGAGGCCTGCATGCTATAAATCCTGGGCGGCGAGGTGATCTTCCAGCACAGCCTCTGCTGTTCACAGTTCACGGTTTGCACAGGGTGATGCACAGGGGTTCAAGGAGCAGGCCAAGCCATGGACAGGGCAAGCTGGGTGCCAGGTCAAGGTGTCTCTGCTATCCTGTGGGTACCTGGGAAGTGGAAGCAAAGAAGGGAGGGACCCCAGAGGAAGCAGGAAGGGAGAGAGAAAGAGGGAGAGGGAGGGAAGGCAGGGGAAAAAAGGGGGAAGGAAGGAGAGAGGGAAGGGGGAAGGAGGGGATAAAGGGAGTGAAAGAGGAGGGGTGAAAGAGAGGGCACACAAGAGAAATTGGGAAGCAGCCATAGATCACTGGCTACTTCTCTGTCGTCCTACCCTGCAGCACAGTGCCAACCACTTTCCTACCCCAACACACACTGAAAGCAGCCAGCTGACTCCTGGGTCACACCACCTTCTCTCCTCTGCAGTGTACCACGAAGCCGTGGTCCCTCTTACTGTCCCCATACTGTACTGCCACTGCCCACACCTGCCCAAGAAACTGCTGGAGCTTCAGCTGCTTCGTCCTCAGCCTTCACAGGGTCTGGCGGTTTGGACCACAGGGGTTTGCTGAGCCTGTGGGGCCTATGTGTCCCAGGCCTCTAGCTTCTCCTGCTGGTCTTTCCTTACATCTCCTTCCCAGCCTGCAGCCTGCCTGCGCATGAGTGGAAGCATCCCCCAAGGCCATGTGCTAAGCTCCCAGGACTGAAGTAGTCTCAGTGCAAATGGCCTTGGCCTTCACACCAGCAGAGGCCTCCTGGCAACGTGGCTTAGTTGGGCCTGATCCCTCACCTCTGAGGACGCTCCTGGCTCAGAATAATCCTCTTGGAGGCAGAACTTGGCCACCAATCCAGTTTTCTGATCTAGAACCGCCCTTGAATGCACAATAGCCCAAAGCCCTATGGCTTGCTACTCTCAGGATTGCCCCTCCTGTCACTCAGAGCGAATGCTGGGTGTAGAAATGCACCACAGCTCTCAGGGGCTTGGAAAATGGTGGGGGCCTCAGGTCATCCGGATGCTAGCCCCACCTGTCAAGAAAAAGCATGTGTACCTAGAGCAGTCCTTGCTGACAAGGTTTGGGAAGCAGAAAGGTGCCTCAGAAAATGACTATCCGTGTTTTAAAAGTTTGGGCATCTCAGTCTTCACTCCCTAGACACCTTCCACACAGAGCTGCCTTCATTACCAGATGTGGGAACCAAGTAGCAGACCCACAAATGTGCTGTCTTCTCCCACAGTCACGAAACTGCCCGTTGCCCATCCTTCCAGTCTGTCACCTGACAAATCTCTACTGAACATCTACTATATGCCCGTGCTGGGGACAGAGTGGTGGACAGGCTAACAGGGCAGTGGACAGAACTGAATGCATTCCCACAGTCTCCATCTGGCTGGGATATGGGTACATAGCAGGTCCTGCCGGTGAGAAAGTGACATCAGAGTGATGGGGGTCGAAGTTTATGTTGGGGACAGAGGTCAGGGAAGGCCCTCGGAAGAGACATATTTAAGAAATGACCAGAATTCAAGGTGTGGAGCGAGCCATTCTTTTGGAGCAAACAGTGTTTTGACAGTAGGAATAAGGCAGATAATGGACAGGTCAGCGGGGGGAGGAACTACAGATCCCTTGGAGCCATGAGTGATATGGGCCACCACCTGGGTGAGGACAGACTGGAGGGGCAGAAGCGGGGAGGGGGAGGGGACTTCAGTCAGTCATTCTGCCTGACTGGGTGAGGGTGGAGGCAATGTGGATGAGCCCTGAGCTCAGGGATGCGTGGGGCAGCAAAGTGATATATGAGGCAAGTTGGGCTCCTTTTGGGGTGCTATATGAATGCACCCCACCCACCCAACTGGGGCACAGGAGGAGTCACTCTGCCATTCACCAGGGCAGGAAACCGAGACTTGGCCATTTGAGGTGGCAGAGCCACAAGGACACCCAGGTCTCTTGCCTCTGGCCACAGGCCTCACTGGACCATGGAACTGCTGGAGACAGTGATGGGAGCTTTCAGTTGTCACCTGCACTCCTTGGTCCTCCCCACACAGTTTCACCTGGCATCTCCACCTATGCCTGTGTCCCTGCCAGCTTCCTTCCCCTACTTAGGACCTTTGTTTAGGCTGATGGAGGAGAGGGGCAGGGTCTGATTTATCTGTGCCGACATTGGCTTCAGCCAGCATCAGGCCCACAAACTCCCTTGTGCGTCGACTTCCTGGGCTCAGCTGTCTTCCAGGCCCCAGCCAGGCAGGGCTGCTGGGAGAGGACCAAACAATTGGTTCTGTGAGTGCTGGGGCCAAGTGGCAGGGGCATCCAGCATAAACGTGAGTCAATTGTCCTGAGCAGAGTCCCCAGGCCATGCCAGCCCTGGCAGTACTGGCTGAAGAGAATGGCGGGCACTCACTCCAGGTTCTGATGCCCTTGGCAGGCAGGCCACTGGCCTGCATTCTGAGACTTTCCACATGCGGCCAGGGCACCAGGGGTTAGCTGTGTACCTGTGTCACCCTCACTGAGCCACCTAGGGACTCCATAGGGGCTCTTTCTAAAAGGGAAGCAGAGGACGAGTTTCTTCATTTGGAACCTCTTATCTTTTCAGCCTCTACACCCACTTGGTTAAGGCTTGGTTGGAAGGTGCCAGCTCCTGCCACAGGGCACTGGTGGGTTTCAGGAGTGACAGAGTGAATGGTGCATAGTTAGGTGGGCTCATCCCAGTGGCCTGACAGAAATGCCTATTCCATCAAGCAGGGTACCCTGCATGCCAGCAATACAGTGTCCCTACTCTCTGGCCCTCCAGGGTTCACCCAAGGCCAGCTCTGTCCTCCCTCTCGAACTCCCTGCCCCTGGCCCCCAGTGCTGCCCTGCCCTCGATTAAGCAATAGCAGCCCAGACAGAGCCACACAGGGTCCTTGGGCAGCTCCTAACTGGTGAGCGTCATTACTGTGGCTGACTGGGCCTGTGGTGACTCATGATAAGGGGACTAGGTGGGGAAGTGAAGCTTCACCTTCTGCTAGGGCATAAAGTATTTTGGCCCCTCGCTATGGCTTCTTGGCTGGCCCTGTGTCCCTCCACACTTCAGTATCCCCTGGCACCCTGCCTCCACCCATGGCCTGCTCCTTCTTTCTCATCCCTGACCAAGCAGATCCCACATCCCATCTACCAACTAATAGGTCTCCTTCCAGTTGGGTGGCTTGTTACGACCCTGCTTGGAACCTTTCCTGGTTCAGACGTTGTCACTCTCTCTGCCTCCAAGCTGCACTGGCCTCCAGAAAACCACGCGCCGTGTTTCAATACCCTCAACGCCCCCCCCATTAAGCAAAAGGCCATATTCCTTCAAAGGACCTTCCAGCTCCTCTCCTGCTCTGGTCTGCTCAGCCACACCCCTGGCTTGTCTGCCCACGGCACTGCTCCCCCGCCATGACAAACAGGTTTGCCAGCTCTGAGTACTCCGCAGGTGCCCTACCCTGCACACCTTCTGTTCTATCTCTACCTAATGCCTTCCAACAAATTTGAGGGGCAATTCAAGTTGAACGTGCTCGAGAAAATATCTACCAAAAATGATTGCTACTGAGTCTAGAATCCCACGACTGGTCCTATTTTGCTCTGCTCAACATTGCAACAACCTGTGAGCATGTCTTTCCTGCTCTTGGGGTTGTAAGCTCTTTGAGACAAGTGGTTATTGAGTTGGTGGGAAGTCCATTGTTTGATCAGCCCTAGGTGAGGACAAAGGCCTGGAGAAGTGAGTGAGTAGGGGCCTGTCTGGCAAAGGAGGAGCTGCAAGCCTTGGGAGTGGGGGCACTGTCCCAGAGAGCACAAGGGTGAGGGGCGGGGATAAAGCACAGGAATGTCCATGAACCCCAGCAGGCTACTCTCAGCATTCTCAGGGGTCCTGCTCCAGCTCTGGGGGCCTGTCAAGTCAAAGACTGCTTGTGCTAACCTTTCTCATCTTGATTAATGCCACAGGCCACAGGGCAGAGAGGAGCCATCAGTTATATCAAGGTCTATCATCGACTGTTGGCTGCTGCAGAGGCATAGACTCTTGTTTTCCTGGGTTCTCTGTAAGTCTGGGTGATGGCCTTCCTTGGTCTGAATAAGGACAGCAACCGCCACTGAAATGGCCAAGAACAGAAGTGACCGGGCATATCAGTTCTGCAGGCCCGACAGAGATGTTCCGGACTGGGCTGGTTGCCTAGAACGTTTTATAGGCACCAAAAGGGCAGGGAATGTACCATTTCTGTACTCTTTCATCTTTCAGACTTTAATTGGCTTAATTGAATTGAAAACGTCCACAGAAAGGGACTGGGACCTTCTGGCATTTGCTCCACCCTTGCACAAACTGGCCAGCATGGTGGGCTGGCGAGAACAGAGACCTGCGGAGGTTCCCTTGCCCGCCTCACCCTTGCACTGTCATTTTTAACAGGCTGCTACCTCAGGGGGTTGCTGGAGCACTGCAAAAGATAGCTTAAGTTTAGGTCTGTCCCCCAACTGCCTTTTGGACCTTTCTCCTGCCCCTAGGCCCAGTGGTGCATGACCATGTAATGAGAAACACAAGAATCCTCTCCCCATCCCTGGCCCTTTCTGGCTACCTCTGTTCAGCCTT